GGGTAATCGGGATGGGTGTGTCATAGGCAGTGCGGTTGGCGCAGGATAGAGCAGGGTTTAGGGCTGTTGTGCATAGGGTCGCTATGAGTCGCAAACGACTCGACGGCACATAACAACAACTACAATAAATTTTATCTATTGTCATGTGCTGTTGTGTTGAATATGGGTCATAGCGACCCTATGAACAACAGATCTGAACTCTGATCCACACTGGGCCGTCTTCATCATCTCTGACACTTGAGCCCACTGCTGCAGTCACTATGTCAGTCCTTCTGGTTGAGGGTCTTCCTTTCTTTCACTGACTCTCCACCTTTCCAAGCATGGTGTCCCTTTTCAAAGAATAACCCCCCTCCAAACCACATGTCCAAAGTATATGAGACAAAGCTTTGCTATCCTTGCCTCTAAGGAGCACTCTGGCCGCCCCTTCTCTTAGACATATCTGTTGGTTGTTTTGGCAGTTCATGGGATAGTCAGTACTCTTTTCCAACACCATAACTCTAAGTTATCCAATCTGATGTCAACTTTTTTTCACTGTCCAACTCTCAGATGCATCACAAATGATAGAAAAATCATGGTCTGGATCAAGTGCACCTTCGTCTTTAAACTGACATCATTGCTCGTCAGGGCTTTGGAGAGGTTCCTGACAACAAACTTACTCAACACAATGTCTTTTCATTTCTTCTGTATTCTTAGATCTTCTGCAGCAAGAATTTCAAGTTTTTCTCACTCACTTTCAGCAAGGTTGAATCATCTGCATAACACAGGTTGTTGATGAGCTTCCCCAATCCTGATACCACATTCTTCTTCATAAAGTCCAGGTTCTCTAATTATTTGCTAAACATACAGACTGAATAGATATGGAGAAAGGATACAGTCCTGATGCACACCTTTCTTGGTTTTAAACCATAGAGTGTTCCTTTGCTCTGTTTGGATAATAGATTTTTGATCTAGGTAAAAGTTTCATATGAGCATGATTAAGGGTTCTGAGATTCCCATTCTTTTCAACATTAACCATAGTTTGTTATGATCCACACAGTCAAATACCTTTGCCTAGTCAATAAAACACAAATAGATGTTCTTCTGGTAGTCTCTGCTTTCTGCCAAAATCAATCTGGCAGCAGCAGTGATATCCCTGAGGCCAAACTTTTTCCAAGCCCAGCTTGAACTTCTGGCAGTTATCTGTCAATGTTCTAGCCATTTTAGAAAATCTTCAGTGATACTTGCTTCAGTATCATATTAATGATATTGTTTGTTAATTTCCACATTTTGTTGAATCACCTTTCTTGGGAATGAGAACACATATGATCTCTTTCAGTCACTTGGCCATGTAGCTGTTTTCCAAATTCCAGGCACAGAATGGTTAGCACATCCAGGGCTGCATTTGTGAGCTGAAACATGCGAACTGATATTCCATAGGTTCCTGGGGTCTTAAGTTTTCTGAATATCTTCCGTGTAGCTTGAACTTCTTTTTTCATTATCATATGGTATTTCCTGAAATATTCCAGTGTAAACCAACTCTTTTTCGGTACAGTGACTCTGTGTATTCCCCTCCATCCTCTTTTGAAGCTTTATGTACCATTCAAGATTTTTTAGCTTTTAGGTGACTACTCAGTCGCCCTACCCAGGGGACCAAGTGACACCCGCCTGACAGTCTGACCCCCGGGAATTCCAGGTCTTGTGCCACCATCACACTGTGAGAGCCCACCCCTACTGCCCATGACATGATATCTGTATGTTTGCTTGTCCCTACGGTTTGCTGTTAGGAGTATACTCACTTAACAGTTTCTTGTATTGAGGGAGTGATTTGTATGTTGCTGCTCTTACTAGGGTGTGTGTGTGTGTGTGTGTGTGTGTGTTTTCTTATTTATCATCTCCTTTTATGGGTACATCAGTGGTATTTCAGATACTGTAGTAAAGCTGAGCTTCCAAATTAAGACAAATTAGGAAGAAGAACTGGCCAGCCACTTCTGAAATAAAATGCCTTTGGAAACTCTATAAACAATAAACAAGTTAGATGCTGCTCTGGAGGTATGCCCCTCACATAAAAGGCACTCAAAAATTAGGATGAATAGCTGCAAATATCCACCAATGTTGGAACATGGAATGTATGAAGTATGAATCGAGGAAGACTGGACATCATCAAAAATTAAATGGAACCTATAAAGATTGACATACTAAGAATTAGTGAGCTGGCATTGGCCACTTTGAATCAGACAATCATAATTTAATATTTCTGGAATAAAAAAGCTGAGGAAGAATGCTGTTGCATTCATAATGAAAAAGAGCATTTCAAGACCTATCCTGAAGTACAAAACTGTGAGTGATAGGATACTATCCTTACATATATAAGGAAGGCTTGTTAATACAACTATTATTCAAACACATACACCAACAGATAAAGCAAAAGAAAACTGAGGATTTCTACAAATCCTCTTTTGCAGTTCAAAAATCAACCAAACATGCAATCAAGATGCATTAATAATTGGTGACCAGAATGCAAAAGTTGGAAACAATGGTAGTTGGAAAATACAAACTTGTGACAGAAATGAGGCTGGAGAATAAAGGACGGAATTTTGTACATTTAATGGTTTATTCATCACAAATATATTTTTTTAAGAAACACAAATGGTGCTCGCTTCGGCAGCACATATACTAAAATTGGAACGATACAGAGAAGAATAGCATGGCCCCGCGCAAGGATGACACGCAAATTCGTGAAGCGTTCCATATTTTCGACCCTGAAATTAACCACTCTGTAATGAAGGCTAACTCCTTTCACCTACAAATTTCGTCTTTGGATACAAAGCTAAGTGGATAGTCCTTACGGAGGGACTGTTTAAAAAGAGACAGGGAAAAGAAAAAAAAAAAAAAGAAACACAAATGGCGACCTCATCTGATGGACTGCACAGGAATCAGGCTAACTACATCTTTAGAAAGAATAATTGTTGATAGTCAAAAGTACATCAGTTGCTGACCATGGAACAGACCATCAATTACAAGTTAACAAGTTCAAATTGAAGCTGAAGAAAATTAAAACAAGCCCACAAGAACCAAAATACGACTTCAAGTCTATCCTACCTGATTTAAAAGTCATCTCAAGAATAGTTTTGAGGCTCTCATCTGAGGCTCTAATCTGAGTTCTCATCTGAACTCTAACGATTAAAGTCCAGATGAGTTGTGGGATGACCTCAAGGATATCATCTATGAAGAGAGAAAAAAGCCATTCATTACATAGACAGAGGGGAAGTAGGAACCCGAAAAGTATGTCAGAAAAGACTCTGAAGCCAAAACAAAGGGAAAAGATGCAGAAGTAAGAGATAAAAAGAAAATTTCAAAAGTCAGCTTGAGAAGAAAAACAAAGTATAGCATAATGTGCTAAGGGACAGTCAAAGACTAAAAAAGGGTTAACTTGCTTAGCATTTCTCAAGCTGAAAGAACTGCAAATTTTTTTATTAGAGTTGTAACAAATTCAAGTATATCTTTTAAAACCAGTCACATGCAATCAAGGGTTTCTCCTCAATAACAAATACACTAACTGAATCTTTTAAAAGTACAGAGATGATAGTTCTTACTATATTTGAACATATTCTAATGTTACAACATCATAAATAAAACAAAAAAACAATTAACTTGGGAAATATTTTAAAAGTGTCATTCTAAATATAAACATGGCAAGAATGAAAAGTTAAAAGTAAAAAAAAAAGTCAAAAGTTTACTTGAACACAAAGCTTTTATAAAGGGGAAAAAAAATCTACAAAGTCCTAGAACTGCTTTTCAAACATAAAGTTTGAAAATATATATATTATGTCAAATATATATTTCACAGCAGGATGGTCCAAATTTTCATTATTTCATGTCTCCGAAATACTTACGGGTTTTTAGTTGAATGTTTATGATTTTTCCATCCAATTTTTGCAAAGTGTTCTGGTTTTGTTCCTATAGAGAAAGCAAATATGTATTACTGAGTTAATCTTTTATTTGATTTTTTAAAAATCTTTTATTTAACTGAAAGTTTATAAATCCTATTGCTTTTTCATTTATTCCTACATATGTTTTACTGTTATAATAATGTATTTTCAAAATTCAAATACATTATTTTCCAAAACAGAATTTTCCAATTTCCCTCACCCTCCCAACAAATTATACAGCCCCATGATTAATCCCCTTCCCTCTGTACATTTTCTTTTCTAATATTAGCTAGTTGATTAATGTAACTAACTAAGTATAAAGTCTAACAAATGCTTTATTGTAATTGCCTTTTTTGGGGGGGGGAGGAGACAAAGAACTTTTTTTATTATTCCCTTTCACTTTCCTATCCACTTTCCATTCCTTACAACTGGGGCTGTTTTTAGGTATGAAGTCTTAACCATTTCACGTTAAATTTTTAAAAAACTAAAATTTAAAAAGAGTTTAAAATTCGCTTTTTCTTTGCCCAGCTTACCTATTCATTAATTCTTCTTCCCTTCTCCTCCTTGATATCTATTCTGCTACTTATTAGTAAACATGGAAATGGTACTCAGTGGTCTGCTAAATACAGCCATATTCTTCTTTGCAAAGATATTGGTATTGAAGCTATGAACAACATAAATATTTCTCTAAAACTAAACTTATTACATATCTACTGGATTTAATCAATTAACCAATAAGAAATGAAATTAATTCAAACTGGTCTGTTCTACCTACTATAGGATCCAATTTCAAAGCCACAAAGTAGAATCTGGGTCTACACAGGCTGCAGTGCAGGAAATGCTGCTGATACCTCTTCAAGTAGTGTAGACCAAAACATTCCAGTGTTCTGAGACTTGGGGATTTTTACAAGACTCATCCTCAGTTTGATATATAGCTCTTCTTTCCCCTTTCATTTCAAGGAGGCAAAGTCCTTTCTCTCCCCTCTATTTCTTTTTTTTTTTTTTATAGTGATTTTAACAAAAGTTTACAGAAAGTTTGGATTTTCATTCAATCATTGTTGCACATTTTTCTCCCTTCCCTCAAGTCCACTTTCCACCACTTGCCCTAGATTGTTGTCATACATATAATGCCTAATCATACATTCCTTTCAGACAGTCCTTGCCCTCACATGATCCAATGCAGTGTTCATTATCTATCCACTTTTTTCTATTCTCTAATATGTCAGGAAGGGTGAGGATGTCACCAAATAGGACAAGGTTCGATCTGTTGTTCATAGGGCTGACTTGATGACACCTAACAACAATAAAGATAACTAGAAAAATAAAATAAAACAGTACCATTTAAAATGGTATTGTTGTTGTTGTTGTTGTTACGTACTATCAAGTCCCTGTGACTCATAGTGACACTATGTAAAAGAGCTCTGAAGCCTGCCCTGTTCTGAGACAATCTCACTGACTCCAACACCTACTTCCATTTCCATAGTTACTGTATCAATCCACCTCATCCGAAGTCTTCTTCTCCTGCACTGTCCCTCCACTCTTTCAAGCATGATGTCCTTTCCCAAGGATCAGTACCTCCTGGCCATATGTCCAAAGTATGTGAGATGGAGCTTCAAAATCCTAGCCTCCAAGGAAAAAGTTTATTTCACCCGCTCTAAGACAGACTGATTTGTTTTCTTGGCGGTCCATGGTATGTTCAAGACTCTTCTCCAGCACCACATCTCAAAGGCATCAATTCTTCTGTCATACTTAGTCACTGTCCAGCTCTCTGATGCATAGCAAGTAATTGCAAAGACCATGGACTGCATCAGACACACCTTAGTCTCTAGACTTACATTATTGCTTCTCAGTCCTCTGGAAAGGTCCTTGACAGCAGATTTACCTAATACAATTCATCTTTTGATTTCCTGACTGCTAGTTCCAAGAGTATTGATTGTAGAGCTGAGCAAGCTGTAACTGTTAACAACGTCGTTCTCTTCTCCATACACCATGGTGCTGTCAGTTGGCTCAGTGGTGAGAATCTTTGTCTTCTTGATGTTGAGCTTCAATCCATATTGAAGACTACAGTTCTTGACCTTCTGCAGCAAGTGTTTCAGGTCTTCCTCAGTTTCAGCAAGCAAAGTTGTGTCATCTGCATAATGTAGGTTGTTGATGAGTCTTCCTCCAATCCTGATGCCACATTCCTCCTCAGAAAGTCCAGCCTCCCAAATGATCAATATTGATTGAAAAGGTATGGAGACAGGACATAGCCCTGACACACTCCCTTCCTGATTTTGAACCATGCAGTGTTTTTAAAGTAGTCTACAAAAAAAAATTAAAACACTCATGCTAACAACATAAAAAAATATACAAAAGACACTACAAACACTACTGCAATAAATGAAACAACATATTTAAAGAAAAAAAAACAACTAGGCTCAAGGATGACTTAAACATTGTGAAATGTCAATGCTACCTAAAGTGAGCTACTGATATAGTGCAACCCCAATACTGAAGGAATTTATAGACAAGATATTAAATGATGCAGGAAATATCAAAACCAGGTGGGAAAAATACACAGAACTATTGTACCAGAAAGAACTGGTGAATGTTCAACTATTTCAGGATGTAGCATATAACCAAGATGTAGGACTAAAGAAAAAGTAGAAAGTAAGATTCCAGAAATTGATGGAATATCAACAGAGTTATTTTAACAAACACAAACAGATCTAGATGTGTGCACTCATTTTTACCAGGTTATTTAGAAAACATCTAACTGACCAACTAAGTAGAAGAGATACGTACTTGTATCCATGGCAAATAAAAGGTGATCCAAGAGAATATAGAAATTGTCAGGTTATCATTAATGCTACATACAAGTACGAATTTGAAGATACTTTTTAAAATAGCTGGCACAGAAAGTTTATAGGAAACTTCTAGAAATTCAAGCTAAATTTAGAGGAGTCTGTGGAATGAAAGATATTGTTGATGTTAGATATTATTGGAAAGCAGAGAATATCACTAAGATGTTTCATAACTACATAAAGACATTCAACTGCATGGATCATAATAAATTATGAAAAACATTGAGAAGCATAGGAATTCTAAAAAACTTAATTGTGCTCATGTGGAACCTTGTGCATAGACCAAGATGCAGACATTCAAACAGAACAGGGGAATACACCATGTTTTATAATCAGGAAAGTCATGTTTGTATATAACTATAACTATTTGAATTATATCAATAATGTGGTATCTAAGTTGCAATATGCATATAACACAACTTCACTTGCAGAAAATGAAATTTGAAGCACTTTCTGTTGAAGTTAGTAAAACTACTCCCTTCAATATAAATTGCACCTCAACATAAATAAAGCAAAAATCCCCTCAGGTGGATCAATAAGCAACATTATAATGGAGAACAGAATGAAATTGTTAAGGATTTTAATTTACTTGGTTACACAAACAACACCAACAGAAATAGTAGTCAAGCAATTAAAATGGTACAACCACTCTGGAAGGCAGTTTCCTCAAAAAGCTGAATATGGAAATTTCATATGATCCAACTATTCCACTGCTTTGAATATACCCCAAAGAAATTAGAATTGAGACACAAACAGAGATTTGTACACCATTGTTCACAGCAGCATTATTCACCATAGCAAGAACATGGAAATAGCCCAAATGTCCAACCACAAAAATGGAGAGAGAAATTTGGTACATTCACATGACAGAATACTATACATCATGCAGGAGCAGTGATATTGAAAAAAATTACATAACTTGGGAGAGACTGGAGAGCATTATGCTGAGTGGACTCAGTCTCATAAAGACAAATGTTACATAAGAAGACCATTGTTGTAAAAATAGAAGGATAACTAGTAAAACGTGAATGGGAGTCCAAAGGGAGAAGGGGCAAGAGAAAAGGGGTGAGGACATGGGCTGGGGATCACAAGGTCACACAATTTTGTGGAAGGAGGAAAGGGGTAAAGGAAATGGGAAGGATCTTGTGGGGACCTGAAAAGACAGGGTAATGGTAGGCATAGTTCAATGGTGATTAATTTTATAAAACACAATGTGTGGAAATGATTGCATGAAACACAATGTGAATGAAGGCAAGTGTGAAACACAATGTTATGTGAGTTTTGTATGAAATCCAACATAAAATATTTTTTTTAAAAAAAGAAATTTAAAAAATGCACTGCAGTAGCAAAATTGCTGCCAAAGGTGTCTTAAAATACTAAAAGGCAAAACACTTTTTTTAAAAAAAAATTCTTTATTGTGATTTGAGTCAAAATTTATGAAGCAAATGGGTTTTCCATTCAACATTCATACACATTTTTATCAATGTTAAATACAGCACACAGAATATAACTGTAACTTTCCCACTTCTTCCCTATAATTCTTATTTCCATTAATCCTGTTCTGCTCCTCAGAATAATCAATTATGTTGTTAAGTGTTGTTGGATCGACTCTAACACATAGATCAAAACCTGGCCTGATCCTTGGTCATCTTCATCTTCTCTGTTGTGCTTGAGCCCATTGTTCTAGCCGTGGTGTCAATTTATTACCTTGAAGGTCTTCCTCATTTTTGCTGACCTTCTATTTTCCCCGAACATGACATCCTTTCCTCTTGACAACATGCCCAAAGTATGTGAGAAGAAGTTTCCTTGCTTTAAAGAGCACTCTGACTTGCATTTCTTTGACAATATAGATTGGTTCTTTTGGCAGTCCGAGGGATATTTAGTACTATTCCTCAGTATCACAATTCAAAGGCATCAATTCTTCTGTCATCCTTATTCATTGTACAACTTTCACACACAATTGAAGCAAATGAAAAAGCCATGACTAAGATCTGATGCACCTTAGTCTTTAAACTGATATCATTGCTTGTTAGCATTCTGGAGGGGTCTTTGATAATAGATTTTCCCAATGCAACACATCTCTTAATTACTGCTACCTTGAGTGTTGACTGTAAATCCAAGTAAAACAAAATCATTAACAACTTCAGTCTTTTCTCCATCTATCAAAATGTTGTCCATTGGTCCAGTTATGACGATTTTTGTTTTCTTGATGGAGAAGTATAATCTATATTGTACTCCTCAACTTTATAGTTCAAGCTGCACTGAAGGCATGGGCAAAAATGAACAAAATACTCATATTTTCATTCAAAAAAAGGTGATAAAATGGACATTATAGAACAGTATCATATGCAAATCAAATCTTGCTGAAGATAACTGGAACTGTACATGAACAGGGAATTTTCAGAATCCATGATGGATTCAAGGTGATTTAAAAAGATAAGATTTATATTCTTTTTACTACTTTAATTCTTTAAATTATGACTTATTTTGTTGTTGTTGTTAGATTTTATAGAGTACAACCCACAATGACCCTATGAATAACAGATTTGAACTCTGTCTTTTCCTGCACCATCTTCATCATTTCTCACATCCTTGAGCCCATTGCCACAGTCACCGTGTCAATCCATCTAGTTGAGGGTCTTCCGCTCTTCTCTTTATTTTTCAAAGGATGATGTTCCTCTTCAAGAAACAACCTCTCCTAATAACATGTCCAAAGAATGTGAGATGAAGTTTTGTGATACTTGACTCCAAGGAGCACTCTTGCTGTATTTTCTCCAAGATGTATCTGTAGTTTTCTTGGCAATTCATGGGATATTCAGCACTCTTCTCCAACACCACAGATCAAAGGCATTAATTCATCTTCTGTCATCCTTAATCATTATCCAGCTCTTATATGCAAAGCAAGTGATTGAAAAGACCATGGCCTAAATCAGGTGCACCTTGGTCTTCAAAAGAACATCACTGCTTCTCAATAATTTGGAGAGGTTTACAAAGACAGAAGAGGAAGAAAAGACCAAAATGGATGTCAGAAGAAACTCTGAAGATTGTACTGGAGCGTAGAGAAGCCAAAGCACAAGGAAGAATTCAAGATACTAAAGAGCTGAACAGAAGATTCCAAAAGACAGCATGGAATG